CAAAAAAGGAAAAACCCAAGAAAACCAAAGCGAAAAAATCCCAGCACTATGAAATGATTTCTGTCTGTATGCATAGATATCAAAATTAAAAGGTAATAGAAGCAAACCTTAATGCAACCCTGAACATAGTTTGTTTTGTTGAAGAAGATGTGGTGGTTCTTGTTTCTTATGTCTGTCGGCCAATTATTGAATATGGTTGGACCGACAAGTAAGGATGTAAGAAAGCATCTTACATGGGCCGTTGCATCATACTTTTTCTTTTTTTCTTTTTGGGGTCTGAAATTTTGTTTAATGTCAATATAATAGTGTCAAACGTAAGTTTGCACTCACAACAAAATCTGGGGAATCTGGGGTTGGATTGGAGTGGAGGACTATATGACAAAATCTTTTAAAAATTAGTCAACTTTGAAGGATTATTATTGTAGTTAGCCATTCTTGAATGGTATGCATTCAACTTCAGCTGCTAATGGTGGTGGCCCACCAGGAATCAGGGAAAAGTTACCACTTCCAGAGTAGGTTGCCAGCAGCAACGGTGACCCTGATTAACTTGTCTCATTCGTCGCAAAAGTAGAATTCTCCATTGTGAAAAGCAGCACATTCAATTCTTCTAACTGAAGACAGGGTAACACCACGCCGGTGTGGAATCCATTCATTGGCTCCTCGGTTGAGAACATGCAGCTCCAATTCGAAAGCATTGGTACGGCTCATGACAGAAACATTGCAATCTTGACAACAAGTGGGAGGGGATGAAAATGCTGCAACAGGACGCTGAGGCTCATATAGTTGTGAGACTGGGAACTCTGGAAGGTCTATTTTCGCACGAGAGAAGGGGCAAAAGAAGAAGATTGAGCCGCATGACGGTTTGAAAAGAAGCAGCCATCCTTGGTTTGATGCAAGGAAAGTTGCTCCTTTGAGTTATGGAATGTCAGTGATGGTGCACTTTTTACCAGTTTCACAAATTAGCTACTGGCACTGATCAGAATCTTCCTCGTACAGTAGAAACCAGGGTTCATGTGAAGATTCAGTGTGAGCTGAAGCAGAAGCTCGATTAGGCCAAGACACTCTGCTATGTTTGATAAAACTTCAGGAAGAATATATAGCCCCGCGGCTATAACCCTTAAAAAAATATATCTTCAAATAGTATCGCCGCGCGGCTATACTTCTTTTATAAAAAATATATTTAAATAGAACTCCTGATATGAAAAAAAA